AGATAATAAATCAAACACAACGAATATATGAAATTCATATATCTGAACTGCCGTTATAGAAATGTATTTGTGTGAGGATCGTGCACAAATACGTTTCTATAAACGCAGTTCAGATATATGAATTTCATTTATTCATTGTGTTTCATGAGATGTTGTTCTTTACCCAGATTAAAAAAAAAAATACAGGTATTGAGCTGCCATTATGTTATTACTGGTTACTTACCATTTGTGAGCATTTGAGTTGTCTTTGTCCAGTTCAATTGCTTTCTCTGCCTCTGCAATACCTTCAAATTTCAGTTTATCACATTAAGGCATCAATGAACAGTTATAACCAAGTTTCATGGAAGCACCAAAAAAATTATGTAAATTTATGTGGTATTACTACCTGATAAGAAACTATGAATCATAAGGAGTTAAAATGCAATTCAAAAGCAACTGATTGAAACACTGGTCTAGGACTGAACACTAATTAGATTCAATGAATAGGTGGTGCCACATTTCTCAAGAATACTTTTCCAGGAAGTTATCCTCCCATGATTTGCTGGCTTTAATAATAAAACTGCAAGAGTGTAGGTAGTGCCATAATCAATTCAACACTTATATACCTTCATATAACATGTTTTTTTTCCCTTCAGTATCTCCACTATTCCCTTTCATCACTGCAATATCATAACAGGATCTTGCATATCTCCAGCTAACTTCACAATTTTGATGATTCTGTGTGATTGAATCATTGTTACAAAATCACATCTATTAAAAAAAAAAACTACTTATTATCCAAAGTATATGCATTTACAATTAAACTAAATAAATTTAACACCCCTTACCTGTAAACACTTCTGTAGGAGTCCATGAATTTTTTGCTTGGCTGCAGTCTCATTATTGGAGTGAAGCTGGTCTACTTCATCGATGATAGCTTTGAGCTGGTCAAAGTCTGAAGCCCTGCATTAAATGTCACAAAATGAAATATCAGATAAATCACAAGTACATGGGGAGAAAGAGAGAGGTGGTGGCCTAACAGTTAGCCCACTGGACTCTGGGGCAGGAGGGCTAGGTCTACTCTCACAGTGTTTCTCTCCACCTAGGACTTATAACTGGGTACCACCACACTGTTAAGGAAGCCTGAAAACCTGTAGGGAGAGAAACCTGTAACAGAATAGCCTCCCATCCATTTGGAGGATGTGTGATCCTGAAAGTTAGCAAACTGGAGTAGGGCTCAAATTGACCAGATTTTACTTATGAGAAGGAAGGTACTATTTACTGTGATGTGCTCCTGGGTAAGACATTCGACTCCCACAGTTCTTATTAACATCAGTGACTTGTTTAAGCAACCTGTTGAAATCCTGAGGTGTAAGGGAGGTTAAACCTTTGAAGGACCAGTATCCCATCCAAGAGGGGGAGAGGAGTGGCAACCAGTATCCCATCCAGGAGGGGGAGAGGAGTGGCAACCAGTATCCCATCCAGGAGGGGGAGAGGAGTGGCAACCAGTATCCCATCCAGGAGGGGGAGAGGAGTGGCAACCAGTATCCCATCCAGGAGGGGGAGAGGAGTGGCAACCAGTATCCCATCCAGGAGCAAACCATTTAACCATTAATTA